GGCCCAGCTGGAGATGCTAAGAAGGTGGAGGTAAAGTCTTGCCTCCTCTAATAAGTCCCTTTCACATATATTATCTCCTTTTATCCCTTTCATTTTATCATTAAACTTAAATTAAGTTCCCCTTCTTTTCCTTCGGTTCAGAAAATCCCTTACCCTACTTTTTCCCATCAGAATATGATGACTTGAGCGATAATGAACTTGAGCGATGATTGTCCTCACGTGGTTCCAAGTCAGTTTTATATAAACGAAGTACATTCCCATCCTGTTTTAATCAGCTTTGGCATCACAGTGACCAAAACACCTGACAAGAACTTAGGGGAGGAAAAGTTAATGGGGGTCTCTTAGTTTCAGAGGTCTCAGTCCATAGATGGCAGACCCCAAAATTGGGGCCCCAGATGAGGCAGCATTTCATGCGGGAAGGGCTCATGGCGGTGCCAGGACACAGAGGGGAAGAGGCCACAGGACAGATGCACACTCCCAGTGACCCACCTCCTCCAGCCATGCCACCTGCCTGCAATGACCACCCAGTTAGTCCATCACATGAGGACAGACTGATGAGGTTACAGCTCTCACAGTCCAACCATTTCACCTCTGAACATTCCTGCATCTATAGAAGCTTTGTAGGGGACACCTCATATCCAAACCATAACACATCCCTGTCATTTTTATTTTAAAAAAAATTCATACTTGTGGAAAGAACACTATAATAAGCACTTGCGTACTCCATCTAGACCCAACAATTTCTAGCATTTTCTGCATATGAGCACATATACATGTTAAATATATATATATATATGATTATTTTTATTTTTGTCCAAGTGTTGGAAAGTAAGTTGTGGGCATCAATGATTCAATCATGTGAATCATCCCTAGATATTTCAGGCTGCCTTACCTAAAAGAACAGTGTCCTAGATAACAGCACCATTATTATGCCCAAGAATATGAACCTCCTCGCAAATTATCATGCACTTAGTCCACATTCAAACTTTCTCAACAGTCTCAACATCTTTTTTGGTTGTTCCCCCCCCCCCCCATCCACAACAGCTGTTGTGTGTCTGGAGCATCCCCTCCTCTTTGTCTTTCATTACATTGATATTTTTAAAGAGTTCAGGCCAGATGTTTTATACGATGTCCCACAATCTGGATTAGTCTGATTATTTCCTCATGATTTGATTCGGATTAACATTTTGGCAAGAACACTTCCACAGGGAAAGCCAGACACATCTGAAAGCTCTAGACAAGCTGGTCAGGAAGCTTCCTGCTCTGGGCACCAACCTACACCTGCGGGCACTGGAGTTAGGCAGCACTTTCCCACGCATCATGACATATAATCCCCAGAAGAGCCCTGAAAGAAGACAGGGCAATTATACTTATCTCCTCTTTTGTATTTGAAAAATCCAAGGCTCGGAGAAGATAAAGGAAACATTCAAAGTCACTTGGAGTTAGGCCTCAAGTCCACACCACTTCCTCTGTATGTCTCGGTGGTGCATAATAAATGCCTTCCTAAAGTCACTGTCAATCTGTGAGCAGCAGGGGTCTGTGTTCAACGCAAACAGTCAGGGCATGCCCTCCGATGGAAAGAACCAATTTCTTAATGGCACCGTTTATATTTTTCCAACGTTGCTATCAGAATAAAAATAAAATAAACACTTCTATCACATCCATACTCAGAAGACAGGCCAGGAGCTCTTAGAAGCCAGGACGTGGAGGCTGGGGAAGGGTCCGGAGCCCTTTCTGTGGCACACGCTAACACAGCAGAGAAGCCTGGCTGAGGGGAGGGGGGCCCTGCGAGGAGGGCAAGCTCTTCTCTGTGGTAAAATGCCAACAAATAAATACAGAAGGAAGACTCAAGTTTGAAAATCATCAGTCTGTAGCCGTGGCTATAATGACTGACCCAAGCACGAATTATCAATGGATATTAAAGCCACCAAGTTAAACTGGGTGAGGGGCAGGATAACTACATATCTCTGAGGAACACCCCTCTTGGGGTCTTTGTTAATAAGAAAGTAAAAAAGAATATTCTCTTTCCATTAAAGAAATCAGAGAAACACTTTGCCTAGTGATCAAAACAAATTCAACTGAAGCCAGGCATGGTGGCGCATGCCTGTAATCTCAGTAATGTGGGAGGCTGAGGCAGGAGGATCGTGAGTTCAAGCCCAGCCTCAGCAAATTAGCAAGACCCTAGACAACTCAACAAGACTCTGTCTCTAATAATATATATATATATATATATATATATATATATATATATATATATATAAAGGGGGTGGGGTGGGGATGTGGCTCTGGGTTTCAACCTTGATACAAAAAAAATACAATCAAGAATGAGACAAAATGAAAGCACATTCCCCAGTGGAGGATTCTATAGCACAAATGGCTGGAATTGTCCAAACTGTTCATGTGATAAGGATAAAAAAAAAAAAAAAATTAAGTCTAGTTTAAAAGCTTAAAGAGATGAAAATTAAGTGGCATGCTTAATCTTCTCAGGGAAAAAAAATATTGTACCTCACCAATCAAAAAAAAAAAAAAAGCCATTGTTTGGAAGAAAATTATTGGGCCATTTGGTGGAATCTGAACATGGACTGTAGACTATTTAGTAGCACTTCAGCAATGCTAGGTTTCCTGAGCTGTCCTGATGTCATGGAAGAACATACTCTTGTTCTTAAGAGATACACATGAAAGTAATTAGGAGCAAATGGGCGTGAGGTCTGCATTTGCTCAAATAGTGGTAACAGTAAAAAAGCTATTTATTACACCATGAGAGAGAAATCAAAACGTAGTAAAATGTTAACAACTGGTGAAGTTCAGGAGAAAGGAACACAGGCAGGGATTTCACTACTCATGAAACCTTTCTAGTTTTAGCATAAAATTTAAAAGCAATTAACATCAGCACACTCCTGGAAACATGAAATCCAAATAATATTTCTTACGATGTGTGGCAGAGATTACCTAAGTTAATGAACTCTTAACCCACTGGAAGGAGAAGGGACCACAAAATAACTTGGCATTCTGGCTGCTGCCTGAATCCCCAAGGGGTGGGACAGAGAGAGCTCTTTCATGGAGTCAGCACAAAAAGACCTCTGAGTTAAGTGCATTGATATAAAACGGAAATGCACACAATTCAAAACATTGTTTTCATATTGTGTTTTATTCTCGGTGGTATTTGGTATATAGCTTGTGATTCTAAATAGCCTATCCTCAACTTCTGCTATTTTTTGAGTAAACAAAATCCTTTAGGTGCACATGGTGGGGAGGGTTGGCTTCTCATCAGCTGGCTGCTGTCAATCATCTCACTCTCAGACTCTAAGACCATGGCAGCTGAGTTTTCATGAAATGTTCATATTCTTTTTTTTTTTTTAAGAGAGAGAGAGAGAATCTTTTTTTTAATATTTATTTTTTTTCAGTTTTCGGCAGACACAACATCTTTGTTTGTATGTGGTGCTGAGGATCGAACCCGGGCCGCACGCATGCCAGGCGAGCGCGCTACCTCTTGAGCCACATTCCCAGCCCCCATATTCTTAACTTGATTTTCAAAAGGCTCCAAATTATAATAGGATACTGGGGATGCTACAGCCTAGTAATTGTTTTAGGGTAAGTAGAGAGACATATCAAAGGAATTGTTCCTTATTCTGAAGCTTTAAAAGATGTACACTGGAAAAACATGAATGAATGCAAGAGCTATAGCTTTCCAGTCTTGACAATTAGCTCTGATTCAGTAATTCCGTTTGACCAATTGATCAATCCTTTATTTGTCAATAAAGGCGTAATCTGCTTAAATCAAACAATAAACCACTTTACTTAAAAAAAGCTTAACCCAATCATGATCACTTAATTCAACAGAATACCCTTTGCTTCCAGCAATTACAACTTCATGTGAACATATGGGCATGCCTTAAAATTTCCTTTATAGTCCCCCACCCCAAAACCAGTAATAGGACTTTGTACATAGGGATCAAAAATGATCAATTAATATTATACCAAAGAAATGTAGCCATCTGATCTTGAAGGATACAGTTGTAACCTTAAACTTATTTCAGTGCTCCTAAAACACCAACTATCCAACAGGCTGTAAATGTTACATCTGAGTTAAAGATGGCATTATGTGACAACATGGAAACCCCAAAGCTATGTAAACAGTTACTGGAAAATCTTATTCTAGTGGAATAGATCTTTAAAAAAAAAAAAAGTCACTATATTTCAATTTCATTTAATCCATGGTGCAAATATTATTCCAGTTTCATATAAAATATCTAGTTTTGGTTAATTCTGCTATGGCTCATTTTCCCTTTTACTCACCAGTCTCCCCCCAACTCGAGGAGCTCACTCATTATGCTCTTATTTATTTACTTATTTATTTAAAGCAGGGTCATGCTGTGTTGCCCAGGCTGGTCTCAAATCCCTATGCTTAAGCCATCCTCCTGCCTCAGCCTTCCAGATACAAGGACCTGGCTCTGCTTCTGTCCTTTTAGATCTTTACCCTCCTCTTAACAACTCAATTCTCCAAAATGTGTAACTTTTAAAAATAAAATCAGTCAATACCAGAATACATATAAATTTAGCCAATTGCACATACACAAAAAAATGCTTTTGCTATAGAAATTGATGCTTAAGTGAAATGTGATGAAAATATCTTCTACATAGAAATTTTCTTCTGTTTAATAGATGCTGATGGAACTTGTTCAAGAACTGTCATGCCATCAGCTGGTACAGAGAAAATGATTCATTACAGAGTATTAGCAACTTTATTTCTGTGTGACTCAGTGGCGTAAAACTGGGTTCTACCTGTAGTTCAATAATGGTGTTCTTGAAAGCAATCCCCATTCAACTGGAAAACAGCCATTTCATAAATAAAATGCATATGATAATTAAAGCTCAAATAACACCTACAAATTTTTATGTTAGGAAATTTTATCCAAATCCACTTGTCTTACATGGGCACCTTAATAACATTAATATTGCTTAAAAGCGAGATAACAATTTGTTTCATTTTCTGTACATACCAACAGTGTGGATAGGTTTCCGATAGGGAATGAAGCCAAAACTGTACTGAAAAATTCCTCTGGCATGAAACAGTGGCAAAGAAAACCCCATGATCTTCTGCAGCTTTTCTTGAACAGTCCGAAGCCATGAGCCCTCAGGGTTGTTAATTTGTTTAAACAGATCATTTTCACCAAAAGAAAACACTGGGACCAAATGAGCACTGCAAATAACAAAGGGGAAGGATAAGAATTTGAGATGAAAGATTTAGATAATTTCTTTGGTCCAGCTGACATTTGCAATGAAAAAACCTAGAAATTCTTGAATGTGCCCAGGCCTCCTTGTACTATATAGGTAACTTCCTATTCAAAGGACTGAAACTGCATTACACTTGAAGGAGAGTGATTCGGCAAGCTACTCAGGGTTTCGGGAAGCTTCCTTTTCATTGGATTTTGTTCCTTTGGTGGGAAATTTACGCTGTGTGCACATTTTGTTTTTTTGTTAGTTCCTGGACGCCATGGCACCAAGCAACCTGCATAGAAAGGTTGTGTTATGGTCCCCAAGAACATCCACACCTGCTTTTATTCTAAGATCAACTTGGAGGAAGTCCTTAAGGGCTAGAAAAATGACTTTCCTTCTTTGTGTTCATAAAGTCTTAACCTTCTTGACCCAGTTACCTTCAACAAAAAGCCACTTACCCATGAGTCAAAGCAATTTTAATAAATCCTTTCCTTGGGCGGATGACCAGAGTCAATTTTCCTGGATGGGCATCCAGTGCTTCTTTGGCACCCCCAAGGACAATGACTGAAATGTTTCCACCTCCCTCCTGACTCAACACATAAGACAGACTTTCCTTCGACACCGAAACAGCCCCTTAATGAATAAAAGGAAATATGTAATTAGTTGTCTCTTCTTAAAAATTAAAAAAATTCTATGATATTGTAGGGTAACTGAACATTTAACAACATTTCCTATGCTGTTTATTTCGGGGGCACTTTGAAAGTTTGTAAGTTTTTTCATAGCCAAATCCTTGATAATGTATTCATTCCATTAATGAGATCTACCTTTAGGCAGGTGATGGGTTTGCTCTTCAAAATGTCACCGATCATTAGGAAGGCTACCACTTGTTTGAATTGATTGTGCACTAACTTCTAAACTCTACAGTTCTCCTTGCCGGGGGTGTTGTTCAATGTACAAGCTGCAGAGCTACATGTGGTGGCCTTGATCATTGCCCTAGCAGGTCCTTGCACAGAACTCTTCCAAGAGGTTGACTGGACCTTCAGAACACACAATGGGCTGTTTTCAGATATTCTGTATGGATTCTTATTTTCCAAACCTGAATTCATAGCAAATCACTTTAAAAATTCAGACATTAGATTAGTAACCTAGATTACTTGCCAGATCTCGAAATAATTTTAAAATATATAGATTTGACTCTAAATGTAAAGTCAGTCTTCAAATATACATAGTTCATTTAAGACAGATAGCTGTTCAGTCTACATATCGAGTAATTTTTAAAAACTAAAGATTTCTTTTCAGATTTTAAATGTCCTATGGGCTCTTGGAGGAAAACACAGAAAGGAATAGAGATGAAAACACAAACCAGTCATGACTCACATTGCAGAGATAATTGTTTTTTAATGCTTTAAGATTCCTCTCCTTGCAGGTTTTATCCATTTAGACAAAACAAAATGTGTCAGACAAGCTTTATTAAGACATAGTACACTTCATCTCTTAAAGAAAATGATATGCTAATTTTACTAGGGTTCCTTTTGGTCCATGTAAAATGATGTCAGAGGCAGAGGATGTTGAGTTGGAGGAAACAAGCCAACCCGCCTTGATGGAGTGAATTCTCAGTGAGTTCAAGGTGTCCCCATCTGCTCAGGGTGGCCTGAGTGACAACAGAGGTATCTCTTCCACTGCAAAGAGGGCCTCTAGAGTCCCAGACATGTGGCTCCTACCTTGCATCCTTCAAGGTTGCTTTATGACAGCTCTCTCATTGTCTCTCTTGTCTTCTAACCTCATTTGCACCCATGGACTCAACTATTACTGTATGTGCTGAGTTCTCCCAAATCTATCTTTTGGGAGATCTTCCTGCTTAGCCTCTAGGCCCGCATCTCCAATGGATATCTCTACCTTATCAGCTGCAAGACTCCTCCAACTTCAAGTCTTCACACAAAAGCCATTAAATTAAACCTCCCATGTGGTTCCAATTCCAACATCATCAATCAAGGTGAATGGGACTTGTCTATCCAGAGCCCAGGCCAGAAATGCAACTCCTCCCAGATGTGTTCCCCTCTGTTTGCCACCACTTTAAGTGGTGGCTCATTCATTCATTCAAAAGCATTTATCAAACAGGTGCTTCAGGCCAGGTGCTGTGCCAGATGCTGATAATAACAGCAAAATAGAGTTGCCTTCGTCAGGGTAAGTTGATCATCTATCCTTGTCAACTATCAACTATTTTTCACATTGACTTCCTCTCCTGCATTTCCTCTGTCACAGTCCCTGCTTAGCCCTTATCAGTTCCGCTCTGTCACTGCAGTAGGCCTCTCTCCTCATTACAGTCTGCAGCCTCATACCCTCCAACCTATCTCCCAGCTACCACCTGAATGATCAGGTGAATTTTGTAACACAAAATTCAATCAGGTCCCTCTTTTGCTCAAAATCCCTGACAAGTTCCTGGTGGCTTACCTACAAGGTAAAATCTAAAGTCCTCTCCATGACATATGTGGCTGTTGTGATCAGATCTTAGCTACCTGCCCAGACTTAATGGTTAGCCCAAAAGGACATGAGCTTTGAAATTCAGAAGTGAGTATAGGCACACCAAGATGGGCCAAGAGGAAAGGGTTGGAGGTGGAACTGAAAAGGACTTGTAGCCACAGAGACCTCTTGAGTAAGATACCTGTAGCAAAGGACCTTTGAAGCCCCATTGGTTCCTTATAACATGAGATCTGGGGTACATGTCTGGCTGTCTTTCACAACCTTACAGGGCAGTCACCAAGCAGGTTGAGAGAAGGGAACTCTTCTTAGCCCTGTGCTGACCTAAGAAGCAGGTTCTGGGAGGATGTACTGGGGACTATCTACTCAGAGACAAGCCTAAACCTCCACTGGCTTAAGAGATTGAAGGTTATAGCAAAAATGAAGATGTCATGATATAAACCAGTACAGCAGAAAGATTTCCCTTCATCCATCAACTATAGAAACAGCCAGGCTGTGGGTCACTTCATGGAGAGACTCTGAGATTGATTATTTGTGTCTGACACTGCCATAATGGGGTGGGGTGAGGGTGCGCCTGCCTCTCCAGTGCCAGGAATTTGCCAAACCTGCTCTTAACTACACTACTCAAATTCACCTGTGGTTATACTTTTAATCAGCTAACAGTGTACTGTAAATACGTTTCTGTGCTTTTTTTTTAGTTTAAAAATTCCTTTTTAATTTTCTTCCTGTTATAAAACTCTAGGGAAATGTTTGCCAAACAAGCAGAGAAGGCCACCCCACTCCTTTGGTGTTTGGAAGGGGTTAGTGCGCCCCCTAGAGACCAAAGGTCAGATCACCCGGTAATTTGGGAGTTTAGTGTGCCCTCTAGTGTGCTCAGTAGCCCACACTGGACACCTTTCTTCTTAGGGACTCATAAAGAGAAACAACTTGAACTAATTTGCTACAAGATATATAACGACAACAGTAACCTCAAAAAATAATAGAAAGTAGTAAAATTCTGGAAAGTCATGGAAAATTATATCCTTAAATATGTCCCTTCTTGATCCTGAAATAATTTCTCAAAAAAATTATCCATTTTTCTTTGGATCCAGGAACTACCAAGACAAGAATAATTATCCTATACCATGTCCACAAATATAAAACATTTTGTTAGTTACTGTAGTTCATGGCTGTAGTTCAAGATTTATAAAGTTGGAAAAACAAAGAAGTTGAACCTCTTAAGTTGAAATGAGATTTAGTGACACAAGCTTTGACTTTTACATAGACATATATAGTATCTTTATGATACTTCAGATTAATTTTATTCTCAGAATTGAACCTTCTACTGGTTCAAAGTAGCAGAGTAGAATGGACTCGTTTCCTTTCTCTCTCGCTTCCTTCCTTCCTTTCTTTCTTTTCCCACAGTGCTGGAGATATAACCCTGGACCCTGAGTATGCTGGGCAAATGCTCCACCACTGAGCTGTACCCCCAGCCCAAGGGCTGCTATTTCTGAACCAAGTAACAGTTAATCTGGGAAGACAAAGAAGCAAGTTGAGTATGTTGATCTGTATCACTGCCATTACTTCAAGACATGGTGGAGGATGATTTCCATTTCTAATATTCATTAAAGTATGCCAAGTACCTCTCCAAGGGTATGATTTACCGCTTATCTGCCCTATGGTTCCTTCCCCCACATCTGGATATACAGAATGCATTCTTTAATTTATTCTTTCCTTGGATTAAAATATATCAAACATTCCTATGTTTCTGTCACCATGATAGACACTTGCGACAGAACAGATAATAGGCTTTGTGTCCCTGCAGTCCAGCAGAGGTGAGGGATGTGCAGGCAGCCTGTGAGGTGCCAGATGGGGACAAGGACACAGGATTTCACTCTAAGAACAAGTAAAACCCAAGTGAATGTCCTGTGTGTTCCTGCCACCCTAGTGCGCTGGAGAAATGGTGACCTGGCACCACTTACCATTACTCATAAGATATTCTCGGAAGAGAGGACAGTAGAACCAACACTGGAGCACATGAAGATACACAGTGAAGCCAGGAAACAGGTCCTTGAAGTCCGAGTAGGCGGAACAAAAATTTCCAAAGGCTCCAGCCGTAAATATTCCATGGGGGTGAAACCCAAAGAGGTAGTTGTGACTGGGATCCAAATCCCAAGTTTTCATGAGCTATAGCACATTCACACAGAGATAAAGCAATAAAACAATAAAGCAATAATTGAGAAAAGACCACATGATAAGTTTTTGTGTCAAGAGAAAAATGGAGAACATGGTTCATTTTTGTTCCCTGGCTTGGAATTGTTTCGAATTTTCTAAAATATCCTCTGAGCCTAGGTCCCTTCATATACAGCCTTCAAGTTTGTGTCAATTCATCTTAAAGTTCATTTAGCAACTTGAGCCCAACAGCAGACTTTCTCCCTGCTTAGGTTTGAATGTGTCCTCCACAAAAGCACATGTGTGGGAAACTTAGTCCTCAGGGCAACAGCACTGGGAGGCAGGGCCAAGGGGTTGGGTGAGGAGATTCACACTATCATTGCTGCAGTGGGCTCCTTCTGAAAGAATAAGTGTGACCCCCTCTTGCTCTTTTTTTCCCTCTTGACCTTCGGCATCTGCCACAGAATGATGTAGCAAGAAGGCCCTCACCAGATGCTGACCCCTTGAAATGGATATCCCAGCACCCAGAGCTGTGAGAAATACATTTCTTCTATAAAATTCCCAGTCTCTGGTATTCCATGATAGGAGCACAAAGTGAATTAAGGCACTCCCGCTGAAAAGAAAAGAGCCTGATACAGGTGATGAAAACAAATGTCCACCTTCCAAACTCAATATAATAGTTTATAAAAACAATTCTACTCACATGAATTGGAAAATAGTCCTTAAAGTACTTCCAAACAGGCCAGTTTCTGATCCAGTTGGATCTCCTGCCTCCTTGCTCTGGGGTCCGCCAGTCAAAGTAAAGCCATGTCAAATAAGGGATGTAAAGGAACCAATAGTTGTATATAATCAGTATCACAAAGATGCCAACACACACCTGAACTGTGAGAAAGAGAAAAGGCTCATAGAATCAGGATCAGTTAGTGCCTGTTCCCTGTACTGCAATCAGGTACCTCACACTGAGCCTTAGTTCAGGTGAGCTAATACAACAAGACAGAAATAATACAGTGTTGTTTAATGTTTACTATACACCAAACAGGAACTCTGCCTGGGTATTTTCATTTAATCCTTATGAAGTCACGACACCAACACGGTGATCATAGTACTTTTTTAATATTTTTGGTCCTGGGGATCAAACCCAAGGATGCTTTACCACTGAGCCACACCCCATTTCTTTTTTATTGAGACAGGGTCTTCCTATGTTACTGAGGCTGGCCTCGAACTTGGAATCCTCCTGCCACAGCTTCCAAGTTGCTGGGATTACAGGTGTGTATCACTGACCCTGGTCATTATACTCTTACTGGTCTTTCTACAGAAAGGGAAATCAAGGCTAATAGAGGTGAAGGTTTCCCAGGTCACACAGTGTACACCAGGTTGATCTGTTTGAATTCAAGGTCCACACCCCCAGCCATGGCCCTGTGTCACCACCTCTCCAACATGAAAACTGGAGGGGTGCAGAGATTTCCTACATAAGAAGTCCTGCTGCTCAGCTCGGCACGGTGGTACACACCTGTAATCCCAATGGCTTGGGAGGCTGAGGCAGGAGAATCTCAAGTTCAAAGCCAGCCTCAGCAGCTTAGCAAGGCCCTGAGCAATTTAGTGAGAATCTGTCTCAAAATAGAATATGAACAGGACTGGGTTGGGCTGTGGTTATGGCTCAGTGGTACAGCACTGCCTGGCATGTGTGAGGCACTGGGTTCGATTCTCAGCACCACATATAAATAAATAAAATAAAGGTCCATGGACAATAACAACAACAACAAAAAAGGGGGTGCTGGGGATGTGGATCAGTGGTAGAGCGCTTGCCTAGCTCATGTGAGGCACTGGGTTCAATATTCAGCACCTCATGAAAATAAATAAATAAATAAAAGGTATATTGTGTTCATCTACAACTAAAAAATTTTTAGAAAAAGAGGGCTGGGGATTGGCTCAGTGGTTGAGCACCTCTGGGTTCAATCCCTGGTACCAAAAAAAAAAAAAATCCTGTCATACTACTTTGATTGAGCCACCTTCATTCATATGTCCTCAAAGAGGGCACATTTTAGTAACAAACTTCATTTTCAGGAATTTTATTCTCACAGACAAAAATAGCATATGAGGAACTCTTTATATATCAGTGCATGTGACTTCTTGCCACTTTTATAATGAAAGAGCAATTCAAATTTTATTTCCCACTTAATATTACAGCTTCAAACTACATGGGCACCCAGCATCATGGCGCAGACCTGTAATCCCAGCAACTCGCAATGCTGAGGATCACAAGCTCCAGGGTAGCCTTAGCCTCTTACCAAGGCTCTAAGCAACTTAGGGAGACTCTGTCTCAAAAAAAAAAAAAATGAAAAAAGGGCTGGTGATGCAGCCCAGTGGTAAAGTGCCCCCGGGTATGATCTCCAGCACAACAGCAATGACAATAAAAATAAATGGGGCAAAAACTGACAAAACTTGACCTGGGTAGTAGTGACAAGAATGTTCACTTAAAGTAATCCACTAGGCTTAAGTTACACCTTCTTAAAATGTCTGTGTTATGTATTGCAATTGAAAATATTTATAAAAGGAAATACAACAGTGTGAGAGAGAATACATGGAGACACAAAGCTAGGTATACTGCAAGTGCTCATTAAACAACTGCAACTTTAAAGAGTGCCATTTTGATTGTTTCTTCTATTAGGAGCTACAGTCTCCAATCTAATGCTGTTTCTGTCCCCAACTCCTACCCACTCCCTGTCCCTTCTGTCGTCAAATGACCCATCGAGTAGCTGAGTAACAGCACCTCGAAACCGCAGCTAATACTGACCCTAGATATAAATGCTTTTTCCTATATATATACACGCACGATAAGGTTTAATATATACATTAGGCACAGTAAGAGATTATCAAAGATTATAATAAAATAGAACAATTAGATCAAATATTGTAATAGTTCTTTAAAACATATTGTTTCTTTCTGGAATTTTCCATTTAATATTTTTGAACTGCAGTTGACCAGAAGTAATTGAAACCAAGGAAAGCAAAAACTGTGGATAAGAAGGAACTACTGGATATAAATACATATTGAGATTCTATATATAAGTAATTTTTATAATAAGTTATATATATATATATGTGTGTGTGTGTGTGTGTATATATATATATATATATATATATATGTATATACATATGGGTATATATATATATATATATGGGTCCAAAGCAGGACATGTATTTATATGTCTCAATACATAGAAGTCAGTACATTTTCCAGTATGGATTTAACAACATATGTAAGTGAATCTCAGGAGACTGACTTGCTACCCTCTGCTACTCTTTCCACCATGTCTTAAAGAGAGTGAGTAGAAGATCGAGGAAGTATGTGTCCTCCATACCTCTGTGGGGTGTTTTATTGCATTTTGGGACTTCCAAGAAAGTTTCCATGAGTCCAGAATCAAGGCCAAAAGAGTGCCCTTGGCCCCATTCCTAGGAGGATCATTCCATTGGCTTCTCTCTGCCCAGGTCTGAGTGCAGATGATTCACCAGTGTTGGTTCATCTTCTGTTTACTTTAGGAAGGTGTGCCAAGAATTTACAAGAAACATATACAGTCTTCTGTACTTAAAGCTAGATCAGGTGAGCCAAGGTGGAGCAGAGGAGGGAAAGGTCAGCCATTGAGTGAGGACCATCTCCTGCCATTTTACCTGGGGAATCTTACCTCAGTGACCCATCTCCTCCAGCCACATCCTACCTACCCACAGTTACCACCAGTTAACCCCTATACATGAATTAATAACACTAATTAGATTAAAGTCCTTATAACCCAGTCCTTTCACCTATAAGCTTTCCTGCATTGTCCACATATGGGCTCTGGGGGAACACCTCACACGGAGACCATAATAACTGCCTTTGATAGAATTTGGCTGGAGCAACTTTTCTTAGCTCTCCACTTTCATTCCTTTACCTAATGACAGCATCTGTCTCCAAAGCTGCTGAGAGAATAAATGACAAGGCACAGTGCCTAGCACACAGCTAGTACTCTGGAGATTGGAGCCATTGTTACAAAAATCTTGTTTACTATTGCACATTTGAAAAATGCACAAAATTAGAAGCAGACAGACTAACAGCTATATTCCTGTTAAATTTTTCCCTTTTTGTCTTTTTTTCCCCATATGAACGAATTATGTTTTTTTAACACAGCAGATCAAACATTATTTTTCATTCTGCATTTTATCAATTATTGTGATCTCGTAGCATTAGCTGTTTGGTATTATAAATTTGGTATTATAATCTCTTCTTAAATTTTTAAACAAATTTTTAGTTGTTGATAGACCTTGATTTTATTTATTTATTTATTTATATTGGTGCTAAGAATGGAACCCAGTGTCTCACACATGCTAAGCAAGTGCTCTAGCACTGAGCCCTAGTCCCAGCCCTTAAATGTTATTTTAATGACTAATCAACATTCTCTTAGTTTTGAACATCTGAGCTTCTAACAAATTATCTCTATAAATGTCATCCCAAATAAAGTTTCCTCACAGTTTAATATACTTTATGAGATAAAAAGTAAATACTGGGTCGGTAAGCAGAAAATTCGTTGTCACTTGATATGCTTTGACACTCTGGTATCTAGAATTGTCCTAATAAATTCCTGTTCCACATATTGCTTCATTCCTTTATAGTTCATATCAGAAACAGAACCAACATAGGTTTTGAAATTCCTTGATTCTAAATTGGATTGAAAGAAGAAAATGCTATAAAAACTAGATGATTTGGTAACCTCTATTTCCTATTTTTATCTCATTAAGCAATCCAAGGTAAAAAGATTCTTCTAAATTGGAAGTCAAAGAGAAGGTGAAGAGGTCAACTCCAATACATTGTAGAAGTCAGTATGGAAGTTCCTCAAAAGACTAGGCATGGAAACACCATCTGACCCAGCTATCGACTCCTCTGGATTTATCCTAAAGAGTTACAGTTGGGCTGGGGTTGCAGCTCAGTGGTGGAGCACTTGCCTAGAATATGTGAGGCACAGGGTTCGATTCTCAGCACCACATATAAATAAATAAAGATCCATTAACAACTTAAAAATTAAAAAAAAAAAAAGAGTTACAGTCATCACACTACAGAGACACATGCTTGCCTTTGTCTATAGCAGCACAATTTACAATAGCCAAGTTATGGAACCAGCTGAGGTGTCCATTAATGGATAAATGGATTTTTAAACGTGGTATACATCTATAATGTAGACAAATTTATAATGTATAATGGAATTTTATTCATCCATAAAGAACAAAATTGTCATTTGAAGGAATGTGAATTGGACTTGAGAGCAATATGTTAAGTAAGACGAAAACCAGACTTAGAAAGTCAAGAGTCATAAATTTTATCTCATATATGGAAGCTATAAAGAAAAAAAGAAAAAGAAAAAAATGAGGAGTGAACTCATGAAACCAGAAGAGAGAGCGATAGGGTAGAGGAGGAGGTCTGGTAAGGGAAGCAGGTGGGAAAGGGTAGGCACTGGAGAATAAAATAGACCAAATTAGGTTACGTGCATGTATAAATATGTAACAAGGAATCCTACTATTAGTATAATACATCAATAACAAAATTTAAAAACATAGGTTGATACCATTTTTTGATTAGTGTATCATAGTTATATGTAATAGTTGGGTTTATTTCGACACAATCATACATGCATGGAATTTGATCGTCTCCATTTCAGCCCCAGGTGCCCCCACTTTCCCTTCCCTCTTCTCTTCCTCTCTACCTCCTTCTTTTACTCCACTGATCTTCCCTGATCTTTATGTTTAGCTTCCACAGAGCAAAACATTCAACCCTTGATTTTCTGAGTCTGGTTTATTTCACTTATGAACCCTCCAGTTGATACCATTCTAAATCATCCAAATTCACAAACCAA